CACTGGGGAACATCGAAGAGGTCAGTCAGCATGACTTGATCAAAAAAAAAGCAGAAGTGTGAATGGATTAATTGAGTCATGTGTTGGGACTTTTCACCAGGAAGTCCCACGCTGGAAACACTGCGTACTGGAGACCAAAAGAGGATTTGATACAGTTCTCACACATCTTCTCAGTGAGACGGCAGCACGTCGAGAGGTGAAGTGACACCATAACACAAACTGAACTGATTAAATGATTTAAACCTCCATCTAACACAGTTTGCATTCCCCCCCAATAACAGACAGAAGAAATTATTGAAAACGTCTTTTTTGCCTTCGTTTCCAAAATAACGGATCTCAGGTGGAAAGATCAAAAGTCTTTTCAGCATTTCATTGACAAGGTGAAAAGGAAATAGGAATTTCCAGATTTGAATTAGTCTGTATGTTGTTTACAGTTTTAAAATTATTGGAACTTTTCTTTCTCCAGGTTTATTCCTCACCTCCAAGACTTCTGTCCTCAAAGGATATTTCTAATGAAGATGATCTTGACCTACTATTTTCTGAGGTAAGCAACAAATAAATAAAAACTCTTAATTCTATGTGATTTTTAATTTCTAAGTAACCAGCTGTTTTTGTGTGTCACATAAAATCCCTCCAAAATTCAGTGGGTTTGGTTGTGGTTAAAATCTTTCAAAGCAGAAAAGAGGTTTGAGGGTTTTGAATACCTGAACATGGCACAATGCATGACCAGAGTAGCATTGCTGTGCAGTGTGTGTGTCCTTGAAGTATCAATAAAATTAAGAAGCTGGCAATAAACAATTGAGGACTTCCCTCAAAGGTTCAAGCTAATGCTTAACAAACAAAAAATATCCCTTTGACAATTATCATGCACGGGGCAGTTTGGAAAAAACATCCAATGCCGAAATAAATAAAAAAATCACAAAATCTAAACAGCTATTCCTGAAAGGGGGTATTAAAATTGCTCTTCTCTGACAAGAGCAATTTTTTATTTTTTATTTTTTTACTGCAAACAGACAAAATAACCTCTGATCCAGTCACGTCAATCATTTCAGGTGACAGTCAGCTCCAGCAGCTTCTTTACCAACTACCTTCAGCTACTTTCCCTTTGGCAGAAGAGACGCAGTAAACTCTTGGCTGCACAGACTGAGGATGCTGACATGTACGTTTCTCCTTTACCACATTTAACTACTAAATTCTGGATAAACATGCAATAATCCTCTCATATTTATTTCAGTCTGTCTGTCGCGCCCTCTCTGGTGAGTAATGGGCTTCTCTTCCCAATGGGAATGTTCGTCCCTCCTCTTTTCCACCCCACCTATCCAAAGTAAGTTGTGTTCAAGGAAAAGCATTGCTGAATGTATTATTTGTTGATCTGATCACAACCCGCTTCTTTTCTTGTGAACAGGGCCATGAATTATGGTGCAGTGGGTTTCCTTGTTGCTAAAGATATCTTTCATCTGTTTCTTCCTGAGAGTAAGAAAAGTGTACATTTCTGCTCTGATTTGTGTTTTTGACGTTTGGTCTTGCATTATGTTGCATTTTGTGCTCATTACTACGCATTCAGATTTTGATTGCAAGTGTGTCGGAAAGAGTAGAAGCTTCTGAAAGAGACACAAGCCAGTTTCAAAGCATCACATTAGATAGTCAATTAGCTGGACTTTATTAAGCATAATCTTTGTAATAAAAAAGTCAAAAGGTTTTTTTTTTTAATTGTTTGATAGCACATTTCCATAACAAACTTAAGGTAACATAGTTACTTGATTGTGCTACAAAATGTCACCAAATAAACAATATTCCTGCTTTAAAGGATTCAAGTCAGCAGATTGAGTGATTCTTGTCGCTTAATGTTTTTATTTCTGAAACTACAGATGAGAGTTTTCTTGACTCTTCTTTGGGATACTTGTCTTGCTTAAGAATCCAATCCTCAGTTTATCTGTACGCTGTTATCAAGAGCGGCTCTGACAATTTCCTGACTCTAAATTTCAGAAGTGACTTTGGAGTGATGTGCTGTATCATCCCTCCTCTGAACATGATGTGCAGAATACCTGCATGCTTTCTTTCAACAGTGGAGTCTTGCTGTCCGTGGCCGTAAAGGTCACTCTTAATGAGCATGTTGCTTATTACTTTAATGGAAAAACGGCACACTTATTTCTACTTTCTATTTATGGTTTCATTTGTTTTACTTTTGTATACCAGGTTGTTGAGTGTTGCAAAATTTCTTTCCAGATCCCTCTTACGAATGAGATCTGGACCCCAATGGGGTTTTACCTGGTTAAATATAGGAAATGATTTTACCATACATTTCTTCTAACTTTAGAAGCTCCAAAAGAATTGTTTTGACTTTTGGCAGATAACTGAAGTTTTAAAATAAAATAATAGGATATCTACTCTAACCAATATCAATTTTGTGTAAATAGTATGACAGATCACATGACCAGACTTATGATTTTTGTTATTTTTTTTAAATGTATAAATAAGCCAGATTTGTATAATTCAGTTGATGCAGTTTCCCACCGGCAACAATTGTTGCCGAGTATAAAACCAACATTTTCACTAAAATAACCAACATAAAATGTAATAATTCATAAATATCACGTGTTAGGGAGATCCAAGCATTGAAATGCACTCATTTATTTTGCAAGAAAGAAATTGGGATTAAACAGGTTAATAAAGAAATAAGACTCTCTAGAATGGTTCGTTGACAAATGTTTTTCTGACTCATTTGTTAGAAATCTTTTGAGGAATTTCATATTGTGGTTGATTTATGATAAAATAGTATTTTAGATAGATTTTGCTACAGGCTAATTAATTTTTTTTGTATGTGTAGATTACTTGGACTGTCACTGATGCGTGGCCTGAATTTCATCATAAGAACCACATTAGGAATATATTTACAGAGAAAAGCGGTGATGTGTTCAGTGTCCATTTTTCCATTGTCACCGTGGTAAAAGTGGATCAGTTTTGTCTATATTAAACTATGATGTCTGTGTCTGTTGTGTTGCAGTTTATTCTCACCACCCGGCTATGCGTGCTGTGGGAGAATGTGTGTGGACTCACTACCTCAAAGCTACTGAAAAAGCAGGACAAGTTCGGGCGACAATTCTGCCTACGGTGCAGCAGGAGGAGGTGTGGTTGCAATACTCTGCACTGCAGGTGGCGCTGCAGGTAAGGAAGCATATTAAAGCTACAGAGTTTTGTGCAAAGCACTTTACGTCTGTCCTTTCACATGTTTTCCTCTTTCCTCAGGCCTATCATCAGAGTCTAAGCCAGAATCCTGCAGACACTTCGGTTTCAGGGTTGCATCACACGCAGCTGTTTTTCAGATCTTTCTCTCAGGTAACTATATTGGCCTTTCCTCATCCTAACAACCAACACAACGGTGTGGCTGGCATGCATGGATAGATGGATGGAGAAAAAGAGAGAAAGAAGGAAGGAGAGGAAGAAGTAAGGAGAGAAAGATAATGGAAGAAGTAAAGCAGCAAAGAGCAAGAAAGTGGAAGAAAGAAGGAAAGTAGGAAAAAAAGCTAGAGCGAAGGAAAGACAGGGTAAGGAGGAAAGAGAGAGGACAAAGGAGGCCAGGAAGAAAGAAAGCAAGGAAAAAAGAAAGATGGAGAGAAAGGGAGAAGGAAGGAAAAAGAGGAAAAGAATGAAGGAAAGGGAGAGAAAGAGGAAAGAAATAAGAAAAACAGGAAATAATGAATGAATGAATGAATCTCTCCATTACCAGCTTGACTTGCCTGCTGTTTTATCTATCTTTCTGAGCCACTAAGTGTAATGATTTGTTGGCCGGCAGGTCAGCTGTGACACTGACCCAGACGGTGAGTCCATGCCTCTGGACGCCTCCTTCTTGATCCCGGTCATGTGTGCCGAGTCTGGTCTGTGTCCAACAAGCCCACAGTGCTCAATTAGAGCTCAGCAGGACAAATCACAAGCATGCTGACCACAGTCTGTAACGACGAGCTGGACTTCAACCCCAGAAATATTCTGGGTTCAGGAATATTCACATGATTAAAACTTTTATAATATATATATATATGTACACTTCAACACTGCCGTTTTTTATTAGTCCTGGTTGTTTTTCTAATATGATGCAAATTGCACTACTTGCACAAATTGTTTGGGATTGGTTTAGATAACATTAGATTTTTTTGTTGTTAATATCACTTTATTCAGTGGTGAGAGTTTTAACGAAGGAAGTATAAGCCACTTGTTTTATGTGAACTGTCTGCTGTTAATAATATCACTCTCAGAGGAAGAATTTGTTTATTGCATTTTATCCAGGTATATCTCACAAAAACACAAATTATGACAATTTTGCTTCTCTGGGCCTCTAACTTAAATACAAATAAATCTATTAATTCTGAAAGAAGTTGTTTATCTGTGAAGATTTAAAAGAATCAGGAATTTTGTAACAACTCAAAGAGTGTTGATTCAAATCAATAAAAATTGGTTCTGGACTCTATCTGCTCTGATTGGAGAGATATCCTGCAAGATTTTGAGCAAAACAGAAAATAATGTTCAAATGTTCTGTTATGACATTTCTAAAAAGCAAAACGGATACATAGAGACAGAGGAGCACCTATTTTCGCAAAGATGCATTTGAATTCATTGTCTAGAAGGTCAAAGTTAAAGGAACAGCGGCGTTGCCACTGAGACGTGACAGAGAGAAGATATTAGTGGCTGCCATTTCTGGAAATGGGAACAAGTAGAATCAAATAAGACCAAAAAAAATAGCATCTGGTCTTACTGGAGAAACCTATACATTTTCCAGACTCTTGTAATGAATGAGTTTAATGCGTTTAAGTCACCAGAAGTGATTAAAAGTTGCATTTTCATTTTTAATTTGTAGACACCATGCATAAGATTGGTTCTGTTGGGCTATTTAAATGGTTCTGTTTAGTTTGTTTATTGCAAAAAGCTACAAATTAGCATGATTTGCCAAAACATCCAGTCTGCACTGAAAAATTCAAGTGCCTTCAGTTTATTATAATATTTAAACACAAACAAACTAATTTGAAATAGCTCTGGCACATCTCAAGAGCTTAATCACAGCTGTTATTAAGTTGCTATGGGAACAGATTTGTAAAATAAAAAAACCCATACAAAACAGTTGTTTGTTTTTAAATGCAACAAAGCATAATTTTGAAAAAAAACTCTGGCCATTTTAAATTAGCTTCTGTGTCTTAGATTTCTTTCTGGGTTACAATGTCTGATGCTTTCATAAAATGAAGAAAAAAAACGGAGCAAAAAAATCTTTGCACGGAGGTGCCAAGGAAAATGCTTCCATCAGTGTTAAATCAAATGAGAAGAAACTATTAGGCGTGTCAAAACACCAGAATAATCCCTCAAAAAACCCAGCCGGAAGAGGCCTTGGAAAAGCCGGAGCCAAACGTCTAGGTCGGCTTCTGAAACGAGTCGTTCTTCCTCGGGAGGAACCAGCAGCCGTAGCTGCACTTCCAAGTGAGTAAAATCTAAAGAAAGTTTCAGGTTAATTGCTGAATTTATTGTCACTATGCAACTTTACAAAGAGATTAAGAGCCAAAACAGCCAACTCTAAAAACAATGCAAACAGCGTGAGATATAGCATATCTTAGCCTGAAAGATAAATGGCTTCAGCTCATCTGATGTCAAAGATTTAACCAATTACAAAATTTAAATCTTTATGTTCAGCTCCTTCCAGCTACGTCTTAAACTACTTAGACTGAGAACATTTTACATTTCTTAAACTTGGCATCCTCCGATTTTGAATTGATTTTATTTTCCACATCTTTCAGTTTATTTAACAATACAAAATAAAATTTAAGAGCTAGAATTAAAACCTTCTCATGTTTCAGAGACTCCCGTTCGTCTTTTCAAACATCAGATTGAAAAGAAAGCTGATAATGCACCCACGGCAAAGTTCTCGAAGCAGCAGGTTTCCAAGCTCATCCTCAATGTGGTATCCCAGTGCAAACATAAAGGGGGCATCTCAATGGATGAGCTCAAGGAGACACTGGCCGCCGAAGGCTATGATGTTGCAAAGAACAATCGGCAAGTTAAGGTGGTGACGGAGCAGCTGGTCAACAACAAGACACTGGTGCGAACTACAAGAAACACCTCACTGAAACTCAACAATAAGGTAAAAACTGAACCTGTTCCTTTCACTGAGTGGCATTTCAGTTCTGCATCCAGATGATTTTTCACGGGATGTTCGAATGTTGACTTAAAATTTTCGTAACTGTTTGGTCAAATATCAATTCAGCTTTACTGTCTACATTTTTATCCCTTTAAAAACAGAAACTAATAAAGAGTGTAAAGACGAGCAAAACAACATCTCCGAAGGCCCTACAAGAGCAAGGGAAGAAGACTCCAACCAAAAAAAACCCTGCAGAAGAGACAAAAGCACAGAAAAAAAACAAAAGTCCGCCCAAAGCAAAAGCCAAAATACAAAAAATGCAAAGAAATGCTGGCAAAGCATCACCGAAGTCCAAGAAACAAAGAAAGCGGTCACCCAAACCCATAAGAAAACCCCAAAAACAAGCCAGGAAGAGACCTCAACTCAGAAAGAACCGATCCCTGCGAGCTCAAACGTCAACAGCAAAGACTAAAAAGACACATAGGCATAAACCAAAACAGGTCAGATCTTCCAGGAAAAAGCAATCACAAAGTCGGAAACTTCCTAAAAAAAGCTCAAAACGGCAGAAAAAGCTTAGCAGGAGTTACAGGAGAAGCTACAGCTACTAAGACTGGCAATAAACTGAAGTATTTTTATCAATCTGACCATTCTTTGTTGCTTTAACTGTGTTGAATGAAAACTTTTCATCCATTTCATTATTTCCCATTAATTACTGATATGAAGATGTTGTAACTGCTTTGTTTCAGATTGTAATAAAAAGAAAACAAACACCCTTTCCTAAAAATACATTTTTAATTTAAACTTTGTGTGACACATTTTGGTACAAAAAGTTTTTTCAAAGGATAATGTGTTAACCATAAGTAACCATAAGGTCCAATAAAAATTATATTCATGGAGGGAAAAAACACAAATTCATAGATAATTCTTTTACAGCCAATTTAGTATCAATTACGAGGTTGACAAGCAGCACTGAAACGCACCATTCTGGCTCATCTCCATGTTTGGAATTTACAATGGAGATGCAGGAGCACTGAACTGAACAGAGGAGAAATAATAGCCACTTTAAACTAGAAAACAAAACTTTTCCAATCCAAACAATCACTTCATTACAATAAAAAAAATATTTGTTTTTGTTATCTGGAAACCATGTAAAAACGATCCCATTATGTTGACATGATGATTTTTGTTTTCATGTTTTTCATCTTGAGAAAACCAAACAAACATCATATTTATGTGGGAGCGGGCGCTCTCTGCTTCCTGTGGCAACGTTCAGCATTTGTTCCAGTAAATCTGGTTCATTGGAATCAGAACCAGGTAATTACAGTTGTTTCCGTTCAGCAGTTTATTGTGATCCGCCTGTCACAGGACGCCCCACACCTCCTCAAAGGCGGAGCATATTTTGGCACAGGTCAGAGCTGCAGAGAGGGGGTAGTTACTTATAGAGACTGTCTGCTCGGTGTAGTCCACATTCACCTGAGGGGAAAAAAACCCAACAGTGGTTACATTGAGAAATTATTTGAAACCATGAAACAAGCACTATCTGTATCATCTCCTCACCGAACCATGTGCAAACGCTCCGATCACCACTGCTGCAGGGCCCTCTGGCACCACGGTCCGAGCATTAACGGCCTCCCCAGCGGAGAAGGACATGCCGATGCGAGGGCAGCCGGGGGGCAGGTGATCAGACACTGGATTTTTAATCATCTTCAGCAGCTTCTGAGGACCGTCAGCGGCTCTGACGCTCAATTTGTGCAGCAGCTGAACTTTGGTGTTAGAGATAGAAGAAATAGTCAAAGAGATGGAGAGAAAACTTGGCTATGCATAAAAAGGATATTGCAAAAGTCGTTATCCCTCTTCAACTGTTCAATAATTTGTTACATGATGACTACAACATTTAGTGTAGTTTAGGTTAGATGAGACAAAACTTTATTATTAATCCTTCATGAAAGTTCCTCTGTGAAATTCAGTTTCCAGCGACAGCTTTATGTAATTGGCCAGTACAAAGAAATGGACAACTGTGAGGTGGAAGGGAATCGACAGACAATTTCCAGCAGTTTGACAAATAGAAGAAATAATAATAAGAAAAAAAAACATGGCAATCATTTTTATAAAGTTCCCTTTAATCTGATCAATCTAAACATCAAATGTTAAAAGATTTTCTTCATAAATTCTCTGATTAAGGGAGTTAATCTGAGTGTAATCTTGTGATCTCAACATGAATCCAGCTGCTCTGTGAAGGTCTCAGAGGTTTGTTAGAAAACATCAGAGCATGAATCACACAACCAGCCGATAGGCCAATGGTAACTCTGAAGGAGTTGCAAAGATCCACAGCTCGGTTGGGAAAATCTGTCAGCACAAATCTCACAGCTACTGAAAAGTGGCACAAAGGTTTTTATTAAAAAGAGAACCTTAAGAAGCCCCATATGCAGTTTCCCAAACATCATCTAGGGAACACATTTAATATAAGAAATCTCAATGTAAAAGCAGATTAAGGGGAGTAAATACTTTCGCAAGCCACTGTAGACAACAAAAAAGAAACAATACCTATTAAACCACAGAAGCGGGTGAAAGTTCTGGGGATGCGAGTCTGTGGGTTGATCTCTATTAGGGCGTTTTTCTCGGTGTGGATGTAAACCTGCAACAGGCCCGCCCTGTTCAGTGGACTGTCCATCAGCATAAGCAGACACTGAAATGAATGGACAGATTGTTTTCAGAAACCTTAATCAGACACATACTGCAAGAAAAGTAAAAATACACAACCAAAAAACAAAAAAAAAAATGGATTAGGATAAAAAGTAGTAATTTCACATATCTGAGAGTAAGTGGAAAAAGCATTGGAATTAATTTCTATTCATAATAATTTAGAATAAATATATAAAAAACTTCTCAGGCTGACGTAAGGTTTGTGTTTACCTGATGTGTGATGTCTGGTCTTATGTGTCCCGGATCTCTTCCACTTTTGATGATCATGTTTTTGTGCTGATCGCAGTTTAACAACTCAAATGTTTTACCAACCTGTAAGACACAAACCAAACAGCAAACCAAACAGCAACAGGCACAGATCAGTATTAAATCCTCTCAACGTTAGCTGGTCATAGATGTTGGTTATGTTTGAAATTAAAAGAAGCGTTATTCTCTAACCTTTACAGTTTCTAACGATGCTCCCTCCAGAATAACAATGAGTCTTCTTTCAGCCATTCGATCATGGAGGCTGATTTTGCCTGTTTTTGCTGCTTTTGGTTCATATTCATCCAAATGTTCCAGACCACGCTTCTTTCCAGATGCCATGACTCCTTTGGTTAGTCGCAGAAAGATGACGTCAGTGAAGAAAACGCATTGAGATATTTTTTTAATTATTACATTATTAAAGTAATGCATTTACAGAAGATAATCTGTTTCTTTTGACATAAATGATGAATGAGAACATTTACTATTTTGTTTAAATAAAACCAAAACATTTTAATGACGCGCTTGATTAGTACGTCATCTTCGTGAGCCGGATATTGTCCAGCAACGTGTGGAAGGAAATTTCACGTGTGGAAACCTGAAGGTCTGGAGTCAAAAAGCTTCGATTAGTGGGTGAGTATTTGAGTATTATGTAGTTAAGCCATAAAAACAACACACTTTTCAGAACGGAAACCTTTTAAATTGCCCCCTGGGTTCGCTGAAGCAGGTCTTGTTTTATAAAAGGCTCATTATTTTATAACCAGATTGGTTTGTCACTGTGCAGCTCAATGCTAACCCGCTCGTTAGACAGTCGTACAGCTTCATTGATGTATTTCTTTTAGGCAAACAAAATAATCGAGTAAGTAACGCTGGCTTTTACTTCCTATATCTACATACGACCTTTTACCGAACCCGTTTACATACATGCTCCCATGTCTGCCATGTATTATCTTCAGTCGATAATTGACTTGTTTCCATAAGCCATGTTTCTGAACCTATTATTTTAAACAGGCTTTTTGGCACTTTTTGTTAGTAAAGTTTGCCATCAGTTTAAGCTGGCCAGGGTGGGGTAAGTTAGTAATTCAGTTTTATTTATTTATTTTTATTTTAAATCCAGTAGTTTTCATACTTCCCTCTGTAATATTAATAGTTTATAAATTAGACTCTTAGAAATTACTGTTTTTACTAAACGTACAGGTGCAGACTATATTTACTTGGGGTATAATATTTTTATTATTAAACCCTTTGTACTACCAATTGCCACAACTATTTTTGAAGGATAAATTAAATAGTGTCCACTGTACTGTCAGAAAACTCAATAGGACTATTATGTATGTCCATGTTCTTATTGGTCAAAGTTAATTAGAGCCAATGTAGAGGCTGTATAGAGCAGCTTGTGGCCTCTCTGTGTCAGAGTCGGTATGATATGTAGGGTATTGATAATGTTCACTAATTTGTTGTTAGGGCAAGGAGTGATACTATTGATTTAATCTTCTCTGCTTCTTCAATTTGTAGCTGAGAGTTGGAGTCATGGGTCGGAAGCTTGATCCCACCAACAAGGTGAAGAGGGGGCCGGGTAAGAAAGCCAGAAAGCAAAAGGGAGCAGAGGTTGAGTTGGCCAACTTCATAGATACAGAAGGTAAGTATCTTTTTTTCTGATTCTTTATGAAAACAAAAGCACAGACTGTTTGCTTCTTTTACTGCCCTTTGTGTATAACATTGTCTTGTCTTTGCAGAAGATGCAGGACCAAAACGTTTGTCAAGTAGAGCCAGAAAAAGGTAACAGGTGGACTGCTTAGTCAGCTTTAAATACAGCCACAGTGTTTGCAAGGTGTTTAGTAACGTTTGCAATTTCTCAGAGCTGCTAAGAGAGTTGAGAACCTAAAAAAGCCAGAAGATATCGCTGAGAGACAACCAAAAAAAGGTAAGTGCATCAATCTAAACCATTTTCCATGACATGACATAAGCCTGTCACCATAAGCAACATTCTAAATGTGCCTTTGGATTAATTGTACACAAAGTGAAGTATTTTTGGTTTTGTCCACATTAATGAACTTTCCATTGTGTTTTCACTTTTCATCCTCCTGGAAACTCTGTTATTATTGTAAAAAAATAAAAAAATGTTAATAGTTTCTTGCTCACATCTGTTTATTCTTTACTGTCATAATTTTTTTTTTCAGCTTTATTTTGAGGTTTATTGGAAAGAGTCATAGATGTGATAGATGTCAAACTGTGAGGAGCAAAAATAAATGGTTTTAAATACATTTTGTGTTGAACTAGTCATATTGGATGTCAAACTCTGCCTGGTTATCTACAACCTTCCCAGTGGTCAATGTTCCGACTTCATTGGTGATCTCAAGAAATTAGATTTCTGAGTACAAACACAAAGCAACAAATAATACAAACTTCTTAAGGGAAATCAACCCGAGTGTGGCTGAAGCAATGCTAGGCTAAAGATAAAAAAAAAAAAAACACTTTTCCTGGTCACATTTTGTTTATTTAACTTCCAAGCAACCCAGCTTTGATTTATAATTTTTTAGTATTATCGCTACCTGTCAGGTGTGCTTAAATACAATCCCACATAACTAGTTGAAAGATTAAAAAATGACAAACATCTGTTTTAATTAAGAAACAACTACAGAGTGTTACAGACTATACCAAAATGTGTCTGGGCTGTTGGATGGAGCTGTTTT